GAGAACCACTTGCTGTTGTTCCAGTTGCTGTGCACTTCGCTTTCAGTCACAATGCCCATAGCAGTGCTTAGGCCTTTACCATGAATGCTACTGTATATGAACTCTTCACATTCATGTACAAGACTGGCTGATTTAGAACTGACAGATTTAGTTTCCACACTAACATCCCTTTGAACAAACATCATGAAATTAAGGTTTTCATTTCCATTTCTCAGTGGTCCAGAAACTGGTTTCAGAAAAGATCACATGCATTTTTTTGGACCAGTGTTTTTTGTATTACGACATTACTAGAAATGCCCACAATGGCTTCAAGCTTGCCAAGAGAATGCATTCACAATCAGACTCAAATCAAGAAAATATTCTTTTCTATTGCTATATATTCTTAAATATTGTCACTTTTTACTGTGAACATTCAGCAGTCAGCCATCACAGACAGAAAATCTGAAAATCTATCAATTCAAAGATCATTCTATGAAGGATTCTTTATGATACCACATTATAATATTGCAAACTCAGTCAATCTATTTCCTAATACATTTGAAGAAGAGGTCAGAAAAAAGTAACGTTATAAAAAAATGCCATTTTTTGTCCATTGCTAATTTCAGTCCATCATATACAGAAAAACAGACACTGCTTAATCGTGCGCTCATATGCGTAAACACATAGGATACATATATTAAGCGAAAGGAGGACACATAAAGCCTTTGGCATACTTATCAATCCTCTCAGCATGATTTTCTCTGGGCTTCTCGCTCTGTGGATGCAAGCAGAATGAAAGACACTTGTGGTGTTTTCACCTTTTATTTCATAACGTCATAGATGCCCTTGACTCACCAATAGGCAATGACCCTGTGATAGAAAAAAAAATACACAGAGGGATGCAAATTAATGTACAAGCAACCTATAGGAACGGATCAGTATTTTACTTGCCAGGTTGTTTACAGTTATTTATGAGGGCGACAGTAATATGAGGGTGAGTAAATTATGACAATTTTTAGTTTTGGATGAGCTATCCTTTTAATTATCCAAGTTGTCATATAGTTGAGTATTTTAAGAGGGTAACAAATTCCAGGGTCTTCAAAATCAACTTAATGTGAAATGACGCAAATGTAGGGTAATAATGTATCATTTAAATTATGATAATTCTTTTGAAATGAAAAATATCAATTATGGATGCAAGAGCGGTTGCACAATCAATAATGACTTTGCTTTTGTCATCACGTTATTCTGAGGTCTTTAAGTTATCACACTTTTCTAACGCTACAAGTTGTGAAAAAACAATTGCCATTGTGCTTCATTAAATAATCAAATTTAGCAACAACACTTCAGACTCAATCTTCTGGCAAAAAGAACCTAAGGATTGTACAATCCACATTTTTTTTCATTCAAATTTACAAAACTAAATTCAAAACACACCACTGAGTGCATTTGAGGTTTAGACCCACTGCATGGCAAGGAATGGTAATGAGCATGTCAAAATGTTCATTTTCAAAGCAAAATAGATATCTTATTAAGTGGTTGTTGTGGTCAGGCTCTCACAAAAAATATCAATGGTCGCAGAGAACAAAAAATAAAGGTTGACTAATGTTTCAACTGAATGCTTGTACAATACATTAAATGTTTTAGTTAAAACGTTCATTGATTCAAATGAATTTCAGTCACAATACTATAATAAAGCACCACTAAGGCTTTGATCACTGATGAGGCTTTATTATTAATTATTTTTTGTTTCAAACCTACACTTACTTTTCTTGCCTCCAGTAGCTACTTCCCCTCTGCTGTCTCAGCAATCATGACAAACACTGACACGCAGCTGCATCTCTGTGGAAAGATGTTTTTGTGATTTTTTTTAAAATCAAGAATATACTACAAATATTAACAATAATTGAAATGATAGCCCAGCCACATTGCAGTCTTTTCTCAAGATTACTTGCACTATTTGAAATGCTTTTTATATGCTAAAGTTAATAATGCATCTTAACAAAAACAGATTTGGAGGAGCTGTGGTCTAGCTTTTAAGAAATGTGTTGAAGCCCCTGAGTTCCTGTATCAGGAAATCCATGTGCGTAACAAGATAACACTGACATGACTGAGACTTCCGCAGGACGCGTACTGTTTGACTTACAAAGTCTTTGCAGTGTCATACCACAATGAACTCATTAAAGAGTTTACTATAGGACTAAAAAAAGGGAAAGAGAAACTGAACAAACCAAATTAATTAATTAATTAATTCAATGCAGGTGGAAATCAACTACAGACCTAAAAGAACATCTAAGGTACTGTAGGTGAAGGTAGGATTCCAAGCCAATTAAATTACTTAAACTGGACTGGACCGACTATCCACAACAAGTTCTAAAGGTCAATTGACTAACATTGAGGTGAAATTCAATTGTAAATAACATCACTCATAACTTATTTTTACTTTAGTGAATGAAAAATATTCTGGACAAAATTCACACTAAAAATGGACTCAAAAATATCAACATTCCTGCAGAATTTACGTGGATGATCATTCAGTAAACATTAGTCATGATTTGGTGTTATCTAGTGTTGTCTGTGTACTTCTCTTGCTCTCTCTAGCAACAAAAAAGTCTGTCGGGGCTAAAAGTAAAAAAGAAGAAAAAAGTTTAAGTACACTGTAAAAAATTATTGTGATTTTAACAGTAAAAGACTGTAAAAATGCTACAGTAAAAACCTGTTAACTGGTTAACAGTAAGTTTCCATACTATATACGGTGAATACATGTAATTGCATTTAATGTAATTTTACAGTAAAATACTGTTAAAAATACGGGTTTTGGAAGTAAAAAAGAAAAATTCATTGTATAATTTACAGTGAAAAAACATAAATTGACACTCCCAGAATTCGCTGCATGACACTTCATATTTTATGTTTTTTTGTTGAAATAACATGTTTCTTCTTTTTGTTGTTTCTTATCAGTTGTGTACATTAGGGTTTAATCTTACATCTAATGTTGTTAAATGAATGTTTATTGCATTATTTCAGTATCATGTGTGTCACCATGATGGGCTTTAATGTTTGTGTGAATGACACTGTGCACCTTCTATATATAAGTATTGCCCTCCTCAGCTCGTAGAAAAGCTTTGTGATGAGCTTTGGTTCAACATGTGACTTTCTCATCACCACCAGTTTTTGGTGGTTATCAGTGCATTACAATGGTTCAAAACAGATATTAACACTTCAATATGTTGGTTTATTAGCATTACATCAGTTAATGAAATACGGTATTTTATTGTGAATTTAAGTTAAGTCTGTAAAACCTAAAATGTTGCTACCATATTTTTTACGGTGAAGTTCTGGCAACCACAGCTGCTGTATTTTACCGTAAATGTCACAGATTTTTTTTTACAGTGTAATTAATATGAACATTATGTCCTATATGGCTTTAAACCCATTTAATTGGTAAGAATGAATGAGAGTGTGTGTGTGTGTGTGTGTGTGTGTGTGTATGATTAGGTCAGTATAAAAACAATAACACAACAGGGGGTCTCCTCAGCCACCCTGATGATGCGATGGCAGCCATAGCGCTCCAGAACACCCACCACACACCAGTTTATTGGTGGAGAGGAGACAGAGTGATGAAGCCAATCAGTAGACATGGGGATTGTTAGGAGGCCATGATGGTCAGAGGCCAATGGGCAAATTTGGCCAGGGTGTCGAGGGCAAACCTCTACACTTTTCGAAAGACATCCTTGGATTTTTAATGACCACAGAGAGTCAGGACCTCGGTTTAACGTCTCATCCGAAGGATGGTGCTTGTTGACAGTATAGTGTCCCCGTCACTATACTGGGGTGCTAGGACCCACACAGACCACAGGGTGAGCACCCCCTGCTGGCCTCACTTACAGCTCTTCCAACAGCAACCTAGTTTTCCCAGGAGGTCTCCCATCCAGGTACTGACCAAGCTCAAACCAGCTTAGTTGCAGTGGGCAACCAGTCTTGGGCTACAGGGTGATATGGATGGTTAAAGAAGAGCTGATATGGCTTATATATGTACATATTTTATGGACATATACCATATTTTGAGGATAAATATTTACTCAGAAGTGAGCTAAACCTGACAAAACCTCTTTTGAGGATGTCCTCATTTTGTAAAAATGCAAAATGTTAGGGTATGAATGAAGTTACAGTATTTTAACTTGCTGTATCTAAGAACTGTAGAGGTGTGTGTGGTTCAGGTATTCCCTACATTGTAGGCAACAAATGTCCCCGCAAGAAAAATAATACTTGAAAATATCTTGAAAATACAGTATCTTAAGGTTTTAAGTTTTGTTACTTCATGTTATTTGAGCTTATCAATACAATGTGCTATCTAACCAACAATATCTGATAAAGGGAAATGGCCTCTACTGTAGCTTTCTCTGTTAACCCCATGACTGTGATGATGGTTTCACTATGTGTGAGAGAGAACATGATCCTAAGACTATTTATATGTGACTATTATAATGCTATTTGATAAGCCAATACAGAAATGCAAATGCTTTTATTTGACCAGTTCTGTGAATATTATTGACTCCTGTATGATCAAATGCTTGTGATGTTCTTCACCTGAAAGTTGCTTTGGATAAAAGCAATAAATGGAAACCAAACATTTGTTAGAATTCTGAAATTAGAATATCTTTATGGAGGTAAATTTAAACCAGAGCCCTCCATTATTCACCCAAGTTATGCAGGTCGGATAACAGCACTCATTTCTCCCATAAACACTCTCTGCTTCTGATGAACATCACTGACACTGATCTCAGATCTCATGCTCTACTGCTGCATGGACTTCACACTTGAACAATCTCACTGCACAAAACTGGACTATCAAGGTATATGTTTCAGACAATTTGTATGTAAATTAAAATATATTAATTTAAAATGAATGATCATGTAAGCATTCAATGCTTTTAAATTCAGTATCAATTTTAATATCAATTTCCTTGGAAACATAACACAGGAGAACAAAGAATGTTGTCATATACTCAGTATTCTGTCAGGTGATGTAGATTTCAGCACTGAAGATGTTGATCAGGATACAGATACTATCAGTCATGAATCAGAGATAGTCTTATGGCTGCCTGTCTTCTGTGTGCTTCTGCTACTGTTACTGGTGTCAAGTGTCTATGTGTGCTGGAGAGGAACAGTACTGTGGAAAGGTTGATTTTACTTGAGCATGATTTTAATTTCTATGAGTACCAATAATGGTTTCAGTAATGTTTTGGTATAATTGTTTTCTCATTTAAAGGTTGTGGAAGAACTAATAACCTGAACCAGGACTGGATTCAATAGTGTTCAGGTCAGAATCTCTCAGTTTGGTAGTTAGTAGTTTGTAATTACCACATAAGACTATCACATTCTCTTTTGTTCTTGCTTTCCAGGGTAAAATGGAACAAGATGATTGGACACTGGCTGACGTTTTTTATACACTGATACCTTAATTGATTATTTCAAAATTCTTTTATTCACTTATCTTCATCTTATTTAATACAATGTGTCTCTTTGGTAATCAGAGTAGTTTTATAACCCCTTTTTTCAGATGTGCTTCAATGTGCAGATGCAGATGTGCAGATTGCTATGAATTGTATGTTTAACACTTAACTGTTTATGTCAATGCTTTATGATATTTTCTGCCACTTTAAATGTCTAACTTATGCACATGAATAATGACAATACTTGCAATGGCCTATACTCTTGTATTTTATTGTGACTATATGGTATCAAAAAGCTCCTCTCTCACAGCAGCCTTTTAACAATGTTTCCTGTCTGTGATTGTTGACTAAATGTAGCTCTTGTGCCAGCAATTAAAAAAGCAAGTCGTCTCACGCACATTGAACAGAGACACTCTATTTAGAGAAATACTTCTAATAAAGTGATAGCATAACTGAAATAGAGAATTAAGAAGCTTTTTTTTTTGGATGCAGTTTCTTGTGGTTGTCTAAAGCAATGACTTTGGTGGACATGTCCTAAACCTTTTATTTTAGACATTATGTTCAGTGGCTGTTAACTACATCCTGTTTTTCAC